CTCTAAACCAATTTATCTTGGAAGTCCTTACCAATGACTTGCAACTAGAACAACTCAAGGAACACTCACCACTGCTTTAGTTCCCAATCAAACACACCTTTTCTCAACTGAATATCCTAAACCCAATTTCGATCATCCCATTTCCTAAAATCTTCAACCACCCCATCCTTTTTAGTTGCCATTACAAAAAACTCCTAGGAAAACTCACCTTCAATAACACCCTAGGGATCCACTCCTCCATCCAGAAGTTAATCATTTTCTCGTTACCTACTGCAATTATCATCCTTTCACGTGTACACGACTTATGTTGAAACTAGCCCTCAAAGGCTTCATAAAGCCTTTTTAAACATTAGAACATCTTTTAAGGTTAGCATTAACTGGTAGTAACCCCTTAGGCTCACATTCAGTTTTCTCCATAACCAATTCATGCCAAAAACTCCCTATTTCATTGCTAAACTGCCATAACCATGTATTCAACAATCTTTTATTTTTCACTTGCAAATCAATTAACCCCGATGCCCCCTTCATCTTTGTGAAGGCATGTAGAATCCCAATTAACATAATGCAACCTTCTCCTATCTAAGGTGTCTCCCCATAAAGAGCACTTTTGTTTTTTGTCAATCTCGCTATTAACCTTAACAAGGATAGAAAACATAGACATAAATAAGGCCGACAAACTACTCAAGATTGATCTTAACAATATAATCTTGCCCCTTAGTGACAAAGTTGTCGTTTTCCAAGTAGATAACTTAGCATCAAATTTATCAATAATGAGTTGCCACACCCTTAGGGAATCAGCTGGTGATCCAAATGGTAAACGCAAGTAAGCCATAGGTAACTTCACTATTTTAACTGTAATGTAAAGCGCCCACCTTTCAACAGTTTCATGATCAAGACTTACATCACAAAGACATCTTTTCTAAAAATTGATCTTGAGTTCAAAAATTGCTAGAAGCACCTCAACAAACGCGTAATATTAACAAGATAATTAAGCTCAGGTTTACAAAGAATTACCGTATCATCCGCGAATTGGAAGTGTGACACAACCATATGATTCTTGCTAGTTTCTACCTCTTGACACAATCTCAAGTTGACATTCTTCTTAATTAGCACACTAAGGCCTTGTACAACACAGTTGAATAGAAAAAGAGACAATGGATAGCCTTGTCACAGCTCACATTTCATCTTAAATTGATTAATACGATTTCCATTAACCAACATTGATATAGACATCGAAGATAGGCAACCTTGAACCCATTTCCTCCAACTATTATCAAACCCTATTTTATCAAGAATCATGTCGAGAAAATCACATTCCACACTATCGTACAACTTTTCAAAGTTAACTTTAAACAATAACCACCATTTACCATCTAAGTAATCAATCACTTCATTTGCAATCAAGTGACAATCCAAAAGCTATCTAGCCTTTATAAATACGAACTAATTTTCACTAACAACTTCCTTAATAGGAAATTTCAATCTATTTGCCAAAGTTTTAGTAATAATATTATAAAGACTACTTATTAAAATTATAGGCCAGTATTCATTAATCGAGGAAGGGTTGTTGCATTTAGACACCAAAGTGATGAAAGACGTAGTAATCTTGTCATCCATTTCTACTAAGTTGTAGAACTCCTTAATCAACTTCATAACCTCATCTTTGATAGTACCCTATTGCCTCTTAAAAAAAACTAGGACTAAAGTCTTTCAAACCAGATCTCGACTGCTATCATAGCTTTCTAAAGTACCATAAATCTCCTGCTTAGTAAATAGCCTTTATAGCATTTCCAAAAAATCTTGTCTGATATTGTGAAAGTCCCCATTAAACTCCTGTAAAAAGGTAGCAGCCCTCATGCCATACAAAACTCAAAAATGCCCACTTATTTCTACCTTTAACTCCTCAGGGTCTTCCATATCTTTGTCCCTAACCTTTATACTTTGAATAGAATTAGCCTTCTTTCTAGCCAAGGTAATGTTATGGAAGAATAGAGTATTTTTGTGTCCTTCCAAATGCCAACACACTCTAGATTTTTGCCACAAACTTCTCTCTTTCGCCTTCAGTAATCCCCATAACTTGATTCTCAACTTCATAACCTTATCCTTAGACTCCATATTGATACTGTTAATCTGCATATCCACTTGCAGAGTATGAATATCCTCTTAGATTTTACCAATTTACTATTTGCCCATGCTAAAAGTACTTATTTTCCATTCCTTGATGTTTTTCTTCATATGTCTTAGCCAATACCAAATGTCCCCTCAGTAACCCTTAATATTGTTAATTTTAGCCCAAGCCTTTGTGAACATATCACAACAACTACCTTTGTCTAACCAGTGATTGAAGAAGCGACAAAGCTTAAGCCTTCAATTCTTTTCCTCCATCGTTAAAGCCAAAGGATTATGGTCTAAAATGGATAGTGGGAGACAAAGTTGTTGAATGCTATGACATGCTTGCATGATCTCCACCGAAATTAAAAATCAATCTAGTCTACTATAAGAGACTATCTCCTTGTCATTGGACTATGTGAAATTCTCACCCACAATAGGAAGATCAACTAAGCCACATATTTTGATAAATCAGCAAACTCAGCCATCAATCTTTCTTTAACACCTGCCTTAATTCTTTTTTCTACATAGTAAACAATGTTGAATCCCTCCCAACATGCCAAGGTATATTCTCCTCTCTTAAAATTTTTCTCAGATCCTTCTATAAGACAATTGGGGATGAGCAAAACCAATCCAAACCAATTAGCCATCCAAACCAAATCCGATTTGGGTAAAATAGTTTGATCTAATTAGTTCAAAATGTTTGGTCCAATTGATTTTTAGGTCGGTTCTCAGTTTTAAAATTTTTGGACCAATCCACCCAAAAAACCTAACTAGTTTTTAATATATATATATATATATGTATAATATTTTATATATATTAAGAAGAATTAATAGTAAACTTAATCAATGATACACTTAAAATATATTAGGGTATTATATGTACATATACAAATCATAATTATAGCAATTTAATACTAGTTATATATATTTATTTATAAATTTATTTTAATATGAAATTACAAGTTATATATTTTAAATGATACAACTTATATGTTAATATTATAATCCATGATAGTAAATATTCTACCTATTAATGAGTTATAATTATTTCACTTAGTAATGTTTCATAATATAAAATGTTATGAAATATATATATAATTGTATAAATATATTATACATACATATATTTAATTTATACATAAACATTACTATAATTTATAATAAACTTTATTTATATGATTACACTCAATAACTTTATTAGTTATTACCTTAGATTTTATAATATCTTGTTTATAATTGGTTATTATCTATATAAATTTTGATATAAAACTTTATAACATATAAGTTGTGCTATTAATTTCATATATATATATATATATAAAATAAAGTAATATATTATATATATTTAATTTATACATAAGCATTACTATAATTTATAGTAGACTTTATTTATATAATTACACTTAATAACTTTATTAGTTATCACCTTAAATTTTATAACATATTATTTATAATTAGTTATTATTTATATAAACGTTGATATAAAATATTTTAACATATAATTTATATTATTAACTTTATATATATAATAAAGTAATATATTATATATGCATATTTAATTTATATATAAATATTACTATAACTTATAATAAATTTTATTTATATAATTACACGTAATAAATTTAATTATTAACTATCACCTAAGATAACTTTTTCAGAATCTACATTGGGCGCATACACATTTCCTATAACAACTCTAATCCTAAGCCAGTAGACAGTACTCACAATCAAAGTAAATCTCTGTTCCACAATGGCCTTTTCCATCTTGAAGAATAGATCATCCCAACAACTCAACAAACCACCCGCACTTCATATGTCAACGTGGACACAGTCCATCCAAAATTACAGTTTCCTAAACTACCGTAAACTTAAGCCGATGGTTAGCTACCAAATTCCTCAAGGCTCCTTTCTTCTCTGGCCCCTAATGTTCCATGAAATCGCAAGCATTAGAAACAACAAAAACTCCAAGAAGGACTCGTACCTCAAAGACAATCAGCGGTGGTTCTTTCCCATCTCGTCTAGTTCCATTGCCATAAAGGTTCCAACCATAGTTTGCCTATCTAGCTTGTAAACCAAGCCTAGTTGAACCCCAACATCGTACATAGCTTCAACCTCCCTCAAAATCGTTACTTACACGGTTGAATATCCTCATTCGTTATCTCCTCTTCCTTGGGATTCAATAGTGCAATCCTATAAGGCTCCTCCATACTCTGGACCCGTACCTTAGCCACATCACTAGTCCTTACCTTATCATTATGCTCCCCACCCCAAATGCATTCACCTCACCCACCCCCAACATCTGACATTGCCTGCCAATTTCCATCGTAGGATCCTTGCTTCAGTCCCTATCTAAGCATCTCTGATCGACTTCGCAAACAACAAGCTCCTTACCAGATATTCTCTCTGCTTCCCTTGCATTAGTAATTCCACTTTCACCTCGGTTATCCCACAAATGTTGCTCGCCACCCATAAATTCTCCAGCTTCTGTTTGGGAGTAAGAATAGCCTTGGAGCTAATTCTCTAGAGCTAGCTAAAGTCCTCTACGCCCTTCCCACTCCTCTTCTACCTCAGCTCGATGACCGAATCGGAAACTTCTGCCGCTGGAACACCCATCCCCAAGGTTTCAAGGATAGAGGCAGTCGCGGTACACCGTCCCACCTCATTCCTTCCAAGCTGGGTTGGCTTGTCACCCCCTGCCAACTCTTCTGGGCTAGGTCGTAGGTCAACCCTATTGCCTGAAACGTCTACCCGTTAAATCTTTATATATTATTGACAGATCCATCACATAAGAATATAAACTTAAATCTTAAAATTCCTTGAAATATAATTTAACTGAAGCATCCACATTGTATTTTGAAAGTTGGATTACATGAAATAATATCATAATATAAATCAAATATGAATTTGGTTGATTTATATAAATCAAATGACTTGATTTTCAACAAGTCCAAACTGATTGATAGCAGGAGAAATGCCTGCTATGATTCAAATTCACTGCAGGAGATAGCTCCGCTGCAAAACCAGTTCGCTACAACTATTTGGCCAGTCTTTCAAGATTCCTGTCAAATTTACAATCAAATACTTTATTTTGAAAGGCTCGCTCGTATTCAAACGTATTCAAAGTAATAGTTACCATCCTCCAGGGAAAAGGAATGACATTGACATACCAAAACAACCTAACCTAAATTATGGAACTGAGACGATGAGGAAGAAAATGAAAATATATCGAGAATCTTTACATTTCCCTTGTAAGTAACCTTGAATTCCCCACAATTGAGTGTATATATATATATATATGGAACACTTTCTCAAGGCTGGTGGAAAGAGTTCGCTCCTTGCTCATGGTGGTTACTTATTGCCGGGATAACAACAGGTATATCAAGGCTGCTTCCCTCTGTCTCGGGGCCTATCTCTCTTACATCAGCTATTCTTGCTTCTGTTGCCTGAATATCACTCCATTCACCATTGCCAACCGGTTGGATATTAACTTGATCCACTGCCATGTGGACTACACTCTCCCCAGGTATTGGGACTGCTCTGGAAACACTAAGACAAGCTTTGTCTACATTCTCTGACAAGTCAACATCCTTTGTCTCGGGTGGACAGTTATTGGCATTTGAGGACTCAGTCTTCTCCTCACAAATTTGCTTCATGTCACTCTGTTGTCTGTGAATGAAAATAGACAATGCCCAAAGTAAGAATATTTATGACTCTAGTTTCAGTTCTATAGCCAGTACCTCAACAATACTGAACCAAATTAAATATTGTTCGAGCATAAATACAGCAGTAACAAGCCATGTTAACCAGAAACAAGTCAGGACAAATCAAAATCAACAATTTACTTGACTAAATTATTGCATTAACCTGCATATTTTGAATTCTTTTACAGGAGCTTCAAATAAATCAAGAAAATGGCTTTTTCAACCAAAAGGGGAGAAAAACAAAACAGTAGTTTCTGTTACCATATAGAACAATTTAATCGACTCACTTTGCTCTCCTACCTATGATTTTGTCTTGATTTTATTTCTAGATTGGACAGGAGAGGGACAAGAAGTTGGATTTCACATTTTTTCTTTTCTTGCATGCCAAAAAAAAAAGAATTATAGTATATATCTATCCAAATATCCACCCCGTGAAACACATGAGAACTAGAGCTGTCGATATAGGCTGGTCCAGTCCAGCCAGGCCCAAATCTTTGTAAGCTGAGAAAATATGAATTGAGTCAGACCAATCCATTTTTAATATGGGTCATCAAAACCTCAACTCAATTCACTCCTTGTTAGCCCATGGACTAGATTGGGCTAGCCCATTTTTATTTTTTTTTAAAAAAAAATTCATTTTTATAATTCTACCTAACAAACTTTCTATTAATAAAATTGTTTTATGATTTAATTCATAAATTGAATAATAAAAACATATTACAAACAAACAAATTACACTAAATATAAAAAAATAAATAAATTACATAAATAAAGTTTAAATCTTTAACACAAACTACTATCTCATAAACATAAATATATAACCAAATAATAAAAATTTCAAAACTCATTTATATCCTCCTCAATCCTCATCTTTAAGTAAAACATTTAAATTTTGTTTAGACAGCAATGATGTTTCAAGATCTGAATCATTATCAATTTATCATCTAATATTTATTACCATAAAAAAAAAGAGATAATAAGTTTTAATCTAAATTAAAATATTTAATTTGACAAGTAAAGATTAAAGACATTGAAATATATAAAATAGGTAATACCATTAGTAACTAAATTATTAATTTTACATATTTAAAATTATTATATTAATTAAAATTATTTTTTTCTAGCCCATAAGATGACCTGCCCCAGCCCACCTCAGTTCACTGATTTGATGGGCTAACCTATTTAGACCCGATTCTAATATGGGTTTAAATTTTCAAGCTCAACCCGTCACATGTTTAATAGAAAATGGGCCAGCCCAATCGGCCAGGCCCATTTTGACAGGCCTAAATTGAGGACTCTGTATTCTCAAGCATGATACTTAGGTTGGTATATTACCAAATTACTCTTGTCAACTATTTCTAGAACATTTTTATTTTAACAAAAAACTTATGTTGTTTATGAAGTGCATGAATTTACAAGAAAAGCCACAGTTCTAAAGTTTTCAAAATAGGTAGAAGCAGGATGAAAATTGTACTGAATTTAAAATATAAGATGTCAAACCTTTGGATATGTGCCTGTAACACATTGACATATGCGAGAAGATCTTGCTTTTCCTTCACCGCAGCTGCCTCTTTCTGTGTTGCTTCTTTTATTCTAGCTTCAGCATCTGCTTCTGCAATTCTCACCTTCTCTTCTGCTCTCACAACTGCCGCTTCTAATATCACAACATGATCTCGAGCTTTTGCAAGCTCAGTGCGCCACATATGTGCCTCCTGCATAGCAGAGTCTCTCTGCTTAATCAATTGATCTCTTTCTTTGCTTAGGATCCCAAACTTTTCTTCCGACTCTCTCAGCTACAAACACAAATGAAAAAACTTCAAATAAACAACAATTACGACAATTAAAGCTTCTAAGCTGAAAGTATACATAGGAATCATGAAGCTCCAACTGCCAATGGTCAACACAATTAAAAGTGACTTCTCAGTGAAAAGCAGCATTCATGACACTAAGTGCATCAGATATAAAGAAGGAAGATGACGGGAAGAAAGACAAAACATATGGTTACTGGATGACGGTTCTTTAATTCATCACTCCATCACATCAACATTCTATCAATAAGATTAGAGTAACACAATTAACTTTAGCCATACCTTTAATGCAAATGCTTCCTTTTGTTTTTCTGAATCTTTTTTTATGCGCTCAATTTCTGCACAAGCAATTCTCCTTTGTTCATCCATCATATGAGCTGCAGATGCTGCAGATTCAGCAGCCTCAGCAGTCTCAGAAAGTTTCTCTGCTATTTCTCTTATTGTTGAATCACGAGCACGGAGATCTCTGGCCAAATTCTGCAATTCCTCATCCTTGACTCTTAGTGTCTCCTGCAAGATTTAGGTACCACTCAGAAGACTGCATCTAGGTAGAATGAATGCTTTCATTGACCAAGCACTTAACTGCAAAAAGGGCATAACAAAAAACTAACACCATAATAAGGACACAAGCAGCCAAGTCAGAAAGCCTGCTTAACAGATGCAAACATGAAATAACACATTATAAAAATTTAATGGTTGACCCAGGACAGGATCATCTCCTAGGTCCAGGTGGCCCAGACTGATATAAAGTTTTCTAAGGCATCAGTGAAGACAAACTAGTCATTACCATCTCCACTTTACCCAACACCCCCCCCAACCCTTTTTCTTTCCTTGCTATACCTCCCACAAAGGGAATAAGAAATGAATTGCAGATAAATCATGAATTTAATAGTTTGAATATGTCCCAGATAGGCTAGGAAAGGACCAGCGTGGAGTAGTTTGGTGTTTCTAGACGGAAAGAACAAGGGCAAAGATAGACTAAAATCTCATGTTCATGGGATGAAATATTAAGGAGTTTATAGCTCAACATCATCCTCAATGCATGCTCTAAACTGAGAGGAAAGGATTCCAAATAACATTTTGAGGCAAATAGCAACTCCCTGCTATATAGCAGGCATTCATGAGAGTCTACTAGATTGCTAAATTATTAAAAATGGACAAAAAGTTCACTATTTCAAGTACAAAATCATAATTTTACTCCAGCAACAATACAACATGTTAACATTTTAAGTATATTTTAAATAAGTTGTGAATAAGGCTCCTATCTTGAGGAAGAATAGGACATGTACGTTAAAGAAACTTAAAAGCACAACCCACAAGCATAAGACATTGAAAGAGGAAACCGACAATAGCATACCTTCATAATTGTAAGATCATCCATTGGACCGTCAGTGGGTCTATTTGTCACCAATCCTAAGGCATTTCTCAAAGAGATCTGCATTGCTGCTTCAATTTCTTTAGAACATTCTCTGGCCGTTGAATTGGCAGCAGCAACTACTGTTGCAACTGTACCTAATTTTGCAGAACCATTCCCACTTAAGGAATTGACAGCCTCTTTGTGGGCCTTTAGAACTAACTGCGTTGCACTAATTTTTGGAACGGTAAAAAACAACCAACAACAACATAAGGATATTATCAACCGTAGATAAAAAAATGAGGTGCAAAGAAAAGTCTTTAAATTATATGGAGCTCCACAGAGGTGAATATACTTTCCAGACCACAAGATAAGGCATCAACCATCATCTTTTTAGACAATTTGAAAGACCGTAAGAGGGCTAGAAAATGCTTTTGTTTTTATTTGAATCTCATACCATTTCAGGCATTTCTCACATCTAAAGCACTATCAAGCAAAAAATGATAAATGCAAAAGGACACATAGAAGCTTTCTTATCAAGTTAGCAAGAATCAAGAGCCAGAAGCACAAGAAAACACCCAACCCCTCAAAATAAACAAAAGTAAGGAACCTAGAAATTAATTAAATTTAGCAAAAGATCTGCCTCCGACTTGTGACCTTTAAACCTTGAAATTGCTTCATGCAACAAAAGGTAACAAGGCAGCTAATTTCACTTCTAGAATACTATTTTCCAAACTTTTAAGGTGTGTCTTCTTTGGAAAGTACCAACGAAGGAAACAAGATTTTCACCTTGTACTCTCACTACCACAAGCTTGTGAAATTACAAATCAATTTGGTATATTTCTTATTATATGGATTATTTACATCTGTAGCACCAGATTGACCATTATACTCTCATAACCAACCATCAAGACCAACCTGCACCCGAGTATTTGGCTCATTGGTTGGTGCATAATCCCCTTGCCTAAAGAGCAAGGTTCAAATCCCCCTTCCCCCAATTGAAAAAAAAAAAAACCATCAAGACCAGCCTCTATCAATTGATGAGAAGATTTTGACAGTTGATTCCAGACAAGCTTAAGGGTGCACTTTACATGTCACAGATTGAAAGCCATCAAAAAATTTAGAAATAATGTAATGTGACTATGGAGTAAAATTATTTCCACATAAAACCACGTTCTTATTCATCCACAAATAATCTTTTACTTCTTTAGGCCTAAATAAATCAAACAATGTCTACAACGAAGCATATCCAAAAGTACTTTTCAGACAAACTCCAAAACCAAGAAAGAAAGGGAATGTAAGAAGGAAAAAGAGTCAAGAGTAGGTCATTTAAATATGTTATTAAGATTTAGTAGCATTCTCATCATTGATATGATTATTATTATTATTATTATTAGTTTGTTTCCATTTGCTGTAAATAATTACCTTCTATGTGATTCTCTACAAGTTCACATCCATACAGTTATTGAGCAATAGGAAGATTGATGATAATCTTGTAAATAACAGAGAACAGCTGTGAAATGGGATCAATTATGGTAAAAAAATTTGGGATGTCTGACTCAAATTGGGTTCTGCTAAGAGGAATCCATCACCTTAGCAGCTTAGCCTTTCTTAGAAAGCTCAAGAACTCACCATAGATCATCCACAAGACATGGCACTATTATATTATGCACTTGATAAATCAAGCTCAACAAATATATATCACTTGTTGAAACAGAAAACTGAAGTAAAAAAGAGAGATAATGCAGCACATTGTCAAAAGTTAACTTACTGTAAAGTTGATACCCAAGCTCTAGCAGCACCAGGAGTCTCTGCACAAAGAAAGTAGTCCTTTTTCTGGGGAGTCCCAACATCTAAATGGTATAGTTAAGAAGCATGCAAGTTTAGCAACTGAACTTCTCCGCATAACTTAAGCAAAGAAAAAATAAGCAAAAACCTTTCAATTATTCTTTAAGAAATTATTTGGATACAGAAACAGCAGCCATCGTACTTTGGAAGTCCACTGAGGGGCATTAACAGAAGTTATGTTAGTAATAATCCCGGCCAAACTCATAGCTAAGAATCAATCAAACCAGGAGGTGTGATAAGAGATTCGTCTTACTGAAAGTTAACAGGAGATACGGCAATGGTGCTGTTTTCATCAAATGTAATTATTCCCTTAACACCTGGCTCATTCCTCCTAGTCCTAAAACAACCAAAACAACAGAATTTCAAGTTTAATTTTCCATCTTTCAGAGAAGAACAATGGAAAACAAAGAATAACACGTAGCAATATGCTCACTTGTATTCCATTTTCCCCGTTGTCGGGTCCAATATCACCCACCGTTCGTTCCATTTCCTCAACTGTTAAACCAATATACAGTACATACACTGAATTACCAAATTGCTTGAAAATATTTTTAAAAAATTGAAAATTAACCAAAGCTATAACTGATAATAAAATCGAATTTTTAGCTGAAACTATGCTGTAAATGCCATAAAATTAAAGACAGATAGAGAGGAGGTAGGGGAAGATCGTACAGTCTCAGATCGCTTAAGAAGTGGACCTTGAAGCAAGTTCCTACCGGAGCCAGAGGCCAGCTGCCGTTTTATCTTTTCCAAACTGTTCTCCGTAGCATCCCTAACTCCTTGCTCCTTCTCAAAATTAAACACACAAACAATTTTAAAAAAATCAATTCCGATTACTATAAATGGAGTGAAGAGAAGAAGAAGAAGAAGAAGAAGAAGAAAGGGGTTTACCGTAGAAGCACCATTGGAGGCCATGAGGAATCAAATCGAAGGGAAAAGCTTTAGCCTTCAGCACCAGGTAAATAAAATAAACGAAAGAAAATATTAATTCGGGGGAAATGTTGCGTTTGTTGGGTTTTTGTGCACTTGCGTGTGTTTGGGTTTTTTTTGTTTTTAAATTCAGTTGGGCTGTTAGGTTGGCTGCATAGACTAACAGTTGGACCAGTTTTTTTTTTTTCAAAGCGCATTCTCCCATATGGTTTCCATTTAACAAAGAAAAAGAGTTCGTCTTCTGTACCAATTTGTACTATATAATTTTTTTTTTGTTTTATTTTGATGAGAAAAACATTAAAGTGAATAATAGTATTAATTATTATTTTTTATATAAAATAAAAATTAAAATAACAATTACAAAAAAAAAACTTAACTATGAAAGTATTTATAAAGAATAAGAAGATTTTATTGAAATACATATTTACAAACAAAGTGGGATGCTCCTTGAATTATAATTTTAATTTAATTCAATTTAAGAGTTTAAATCAGATTATACTTTTTACATCTGGTTTGTTAGGTTACTTGATTTGAACCTTTTGAATCATAACATAATAGATATTCACACATATATTTATAACACTCTCTTTAAATTATTCACACATATATTCATAACACTCCTTTTAAACTTTCATTGTATTAAAAATATTCTTTGTTAAAACCTTATTGAAAAAAAAAATCATGAAAAAAAATTTGAGTAAATAAAAAAAAGTGTATAATTCTTTTCAAGAATACGCTTTTCAAATATTACCTCATTAAATACCTCATCAGGAAAAATCCAGCATGAAAAACTTTGATGAAGAAAAGAATACAATGCATATTTTACTCTTTTAATGACTTCATTATTTAAGATCTTTACAATGGTACACTTTAATTTTTTATACCAGCTTTTCAAATGTTGCAATAGAAAGGTCTTTGATAAATAAATTTATTAGATTGTCACTTGAACGAATTTATTAAATACTAATATCACTTTTTTCTTAGAGATCATGAGTAAATAAGAAAAACCTCATATCCCTGAAAGAAATGGTTAGTGCCATCTACAACCAAAATGCATCTATTCCCATCTATATCCAAGATCTATTAAAAATGCTCCAAGCTTTCTAAGAGATGATCTAAACATTAAAGGACAATAATAAGCGAATGATGGAAATGATATCCCAACTTGTATCTTCTACAAACATCTCTTCTCAAGCTCAACTCACATACTTTAATAATAATGAAAATGAGCTTGATGGAGCCATTCCTAAATTGTAAGTGCCACCAAATGGAGGGAATGGAGAGAAAATTGTTAACGCAATAGCCACCAAAAATCCCAACATCACAATCCTCTTATTGCAATTTTGTCAGTCATTACCTTTATTTTAGTATTCTTGTTGACCACTATTTAAAGGTTTTATGATAAACAAAAGAGCTTTAAAAGCTACTCGATTAGAAGAAGAGCTTGAAGTGTTTTGAATTTGATCGTAAACTACCCTATCCAACTAGTGTAATCGTTAAACAATACCTCAAGGACTTTGTTAACCCCGAGTTTAAGCAATTCAATTGTAAACCTAAAGATGTTCGAGAACATGTTATGAAGTTTGTGAAAACTCTCGAAATAAGGAGATCAGATGATTAAAGTTAAAAGAGTTTTCTAAATCTCTTATTGAAAAGGCTTATACATGAATTTTTTTTTTAAAAAAAAAGAAAATAAAAAGCCTATACATGATATGTAATCTCACATGTGGTACCCTGAAATCTTTGAGTCAAATGTGTAGAATGTCTAGAGAGAAGATTTTCTCTACTCAAAAGAAGATTACTCTCATTAAGTTAAGAATGAAGGATCTCATAAAATACATAAAATGCTTAAAAAAATTATTTTAGATATCCAAAGGATGAAAGTTTGCATCCAAAGGATGTTCGGTGAATATAGACTGCACTTATAGAACTTATTACAATCTTTACTACTTCAGTGGAAGCTAAACCAAAGACCAACAATATAGTTTGTAGGCAAAAAAGAACTACTTGCTTCAGTAAAAAGAATATCCCAATAGTGAATGCAATTCAAGAAAGAAATAAAGAAAAAAAAGGTCCCTCTCAACCTAAACTGTGTACTAAATGAGACAACTCAAGGAAAAAGTAAAACAAGGAGGCGAACTTACCTTATGCTTTATAAACATCAATAATGAGAGGAAAGTCCAACTCAAGGTGTTACAACTATCATCGAGTAATTGGTCATTCATTTATTGAGTATAACAAAATTTCACTAGTAGGTGCAAATTGGAAAAGTACTGATTGGAACCAATAAGATCCAAAACAACTTGCTTTTTGTTTATTTAAATCTTGGTGGCATGTAAATGCAATTATTCATGTTTTCCATGAAGGTCCTTTTTTTTCAACTACTCACATCGAGAATGCACACCACCTGTTATGGTGACTTTTTCTATTGTTAGCTTGTTAACAAAGACACCCAATTTTGGATGCTTCTTTGACCAACTTAGGTGTTTTTTAAAAAAAGTCAACAATGAAGCAACTACAAGCTTGGTGTATATAGTTGGAGTATAGTATGATGAGTACACCTTAATGGGATAACCTATGAGAAAAATGGTTAACAATTATCATAATGGCATAATGTTCATAGAAGAAGATATGTGCACGTCGCATTTTTATCATCATAAGTCCCTTTATTTGAAAATCATTATTAATAGATATTTATTAAAAAAACATATTATTGACATGGTTGGCATAATAGAGTATCAATATGACATTTTTTATGGTCTGATCTTATTGTTAGAGAGCTAGATTGGTGTTTTTTGCATCTAGCTTTGGTGGTAAAGCACCAGTCGATGCTTCTTGTTGCCAGATCTAGTCGTGGAGACCTCAATGCCGTTGTCGTCTTCTAATGGTGGAAAACATTTAAAAAGAGAAAATATGAAAAATTAATAGATTTTGTCTTACATAGAATAGTAAATTTTAAACTTAGCTAAGAGTGTTTTTGTTTAACTATTTTTGTAACCTATTCCTACATAGATAGAAAAGCCATAGACATGGCAACCAAACACAATTTAAAAGGAAAAGATAAATGAAAAAGGGAAGAGTAGGACTGTGCGACGGTCGGTTGGGACCGCCCAACCGACTGCAACCAATTGGTTGTTTCGATCGACTTCGTCGGCTAATCGCGTCGGTCGTCGTGGGGACTCCTTCCCCCCGAACCGATCGAAAAATCGATAAATTTTTTTAAAGAAAAATTACCCATGGGCCCAGCCCCGCGACCTCACTAATTCCCCCTCCCCCTCTTGAGTCCCGACCTAATTCCCCCACCACCCGAGTCCGCCGACCTAACGAAATTCTCCCTCCTCTCGCGAGTCCCAACCTAATTCCCCCCCCCCCCATCCGAGTCCGCCGACTTAATTCCCCCCCCCTGGGCGAGCAGATTACCTAATTCCCCCCTCCCCTCGTCTAATCTAGGGGCCCTTCCTTTCGAACCTTTCTTGCTTTCTGCCTCTCCCTGATCCCTTTCTCTCTCTAACCCGCCGAAGCAGCCATTGATCTACCACCCTTCACCCTTACTTATCAGTCTTCCATTCTTCAACTGTCACTGCAAGGTAAAGTTGAAAGATTTTATTTTATTGTTAGTTATTTTGTGATGAGTATGAAATGCTGTTTTTTGTTTGTAAAAATTAGATATTATGGGTATGAAATGCTATTTTTTGTTTGTAAAAATTAATTTTAGTGCAAATAAAATGAATTCCAATGAATTAGGAAAATAATAGTTTGATTTTTAAATTTTGATAGTTAAAATTTTTTTTTCAACTATAGATTATTTCAACCTTAGTTGACATTAAATGATTTAAAGATTTTAATATTGAGACTTATTATTTGGATAATTAATTAAAATGATTTAATGCTAGAATTAAATATGAAGATTTATGTTTAGGAATTAATATTTGGAATTATTATTTGAATTTGTAATTAAAATGATTGGTAATATATTAGAATTAAACATTAAGAATTATGTTTGAGAATGAATGTTTAGAATTATTGTGTGAATTTTTAATTAAAATGATTGGTAATATCTTAGAATTAAATATTAAAAATAATATTTGAGAATTAATGTTGAGAATTATTTTTTTGATTTTTAATTAAAATGATTGGCAATATGCTATAATTAATCATTGGAATTAATATTTGGGTATTACTTTTTCTTTGTAGATGTCAACTAATGAGGAAACAAATTTTGCAACTAATGAGACACTAACACCATCAACATCTACATCACATGTTACTGCTAGTTCTACCGAAGCCAACAAAACATGTAAAGTTGTAAGTAAAGGGCGAAAGCAAAGGGAGTCATCTCAATCTACATCGATTGTATGGGATCACTTCACCAAATTTGTTGATAAGAAAGGTAATAAGAAAGCTAAATGTTCTCATTGTGGTAAAGAATTGTGTGCTGCTACAAAAAAGAATGGAACATCTTCTTTGAAAAATCATATTAAAGTTTGTCCTAAGTTGAAATTGGTGCATGATAGTGAGGAGAACAAGCAGATGGAATTAGTTCTTGCTTCGGGAGGGGATGGGTTGGGTAATTGGAAGTTTGATCAAGAGGGAATTAGGAGGAGTTTAGCTAAGATGATCATTTTAGATGAATTGCCTTTTAAGTTTGTGGAAAATGAAGGATATAGGAAGCACATAAACAAAGCATGTCCTAGATTTCGTATCCCGTCACGATGGACTGTTGCTAGGGATTGTTATAAGGTTTATACTGATGAAAAAACTCGAATGAGAAAATTATTGAAATTATGTCCTGGTAGAATATGTCTCACCACTAACACATGGACTTCGATTCAAAGAATTAATTATATGTGTCTAACTGCTCATTTTATTGATAATGATTGGAAGTTGCAAAAAAAAATTTTGAACTTTTGTCCGATCACTAGTCACAAAGGTGAGGCCATTGGTAAGGTAATTAGTAAATGTTTGGGGAATTAGGAGATCCAAAAGATTTTTTCTATCACTGTTGATAATGCTAGTTCAAATGATGTTGCAATAGGATATTTGAAGAAAATATATAATGTTGCTGGAACTAGTATTTTAGGAGGTAGATTTTTTCATGTGAGATGCATTGCTCATATTGTTAATCTTGTGGTCTCTGATGGATTGAAGGATATGAATTCCTCAATTGCTTATGTTAGAGGGGCGGTGAGATATATTAGGCAATCCCCTGCTAGATTAGCTAAGTTTAAGGAGTGTGCTGCTAGTGCGGGAGTTGAGAGTAAGTATTTATTGTGTTTAGATGTGGGCACTAGATGGAATTTTACTTTTTTGATGTTGGATACAGCTTTGAAAGTTCAGAGGGCTTTTGCATCATTTGAATTATGTGATAATAGCTACATACCTGAGCTCATAAGGTTAGGGGATGGGGTGCTCGATGATAGAAATTGGCAAATGTTAAGAGGATTTCTCGTTTCTTAAGAGAATTTTATGATTTGAACTTGAGTGTTTCAAGCACATCTTACATAACGGTTAATTCTTTTTTGGATTCCATTTCTGATGTGTATACTACTTTGATTGAATGGCAAAATAGTGATGAGGTTGATTTACAATCTATGACAATTAAGATGAAAGAGAAATTTGACAAGTATTGGGAGAATGTGGACAAAATGAATTTGGTATTATTCATTGCTGCTATACTTGATCCAAGGAAAAAGGTTTCTTATGTTGAATTTACTTTGCTAGACATGTATCCTCCTACTCAAGCTTCAATGATGTTTTCTTTGATGACACAAATAATGGATGAGTTGTTTCGTTGTTATAGAAACATGTTATAACCTCCAGCTCGTGATGTTGGTGAAAGTGGTCAAGAGTGTCCATCCTCCATGAGTCAAGGCACTAGTGGTAGTTGTAGTGATAGTGTTGCTTCAATTTTGATTGGCAAGGACACAGAATGTACTAAAAAAAAATTGGATAGGTTTAAGAAGCATCGGTTAAATACTGGATCAAATGAGCTGAACACGAAATTGGAGAAATATTTATCTGAGCCTGTGGATGATGAAGGTTTCGATGATGATGAGTTTGATGTTCTCATGTGGTGGAAACTTAATCAGTTTAGGTTTCTTGTACTTGCTGCTATTGCTCGTGATGTATTGGTTGTTATCGTATAAACAGTTGCTTCGAAATCTGCTTTTAGTACCGGTGGGCGTGTGTTTGATGCATATAGGAGTTCTTTGACTCCTAAAGTCGTGCAATCACTTATTTATGCCCAAAATTGGTTATGTGGATTGGCATGTGGTGATCCGGATTTGATTGAAGATGATTTGGATGAGCTTGATAAACTTGATTTTGGTAAATATTTTATTTATTTTATAGTTTTATTTATAATTCAATTTATTTGATTTGTCAAAAATCAATTTACCATATTTGTTATTTTATTCTTTAAAGTTGATGAATATTACATTGGAGACAATAGCTGAGTCTGAGCCTGAGTTGGACTAACACTTTCAGGTAATGTTATCATTAGGTATTATGCAATATTTATATTACATTTATAATTCCTTTAGGTTATCTTATCATAAATATTTAGACTAATTATATATTTACTTCTAATATTTTTAGGAACATGTTTTGCAAAATCATTACAAATTGAAATTGGAGCTTTGGAGATTCATTTTTTTGAAATTTAGTAATTTATGTCATTAAGCTTTAAGTTGTGGAACTCTTGTTTTTTTATTTATTATATGAAAACTAATGCTAATTTTTTTGTGATCATATTTAATTATAGAACTTTTGAAACTAATGTTTACTTATTTTATAAAGCTTATTATATAACTATTTGAATTAATAAAAAAGGCCCATGTTAAACGGAAAAAAAATCAAATTATTTAATAAAAAAATTAATTTAAAATTAATGTCATTGTATCTTTAACCATTTTAGTCTATAGATCCTTAACTATTTTAGCCCATTGAAATTAATTCTGCTCATGAATCTTTAACTATTTTAACCCATAGATCACAGTCCAAGTCAATCCATTTTAGCCCAAATTAACTTATTGATCTCACTTTCAAAAACCGACCGAACCGATTGAAACTGATTTTCTAAAAAACTGATTGAAATAGACATTATATCATATGCAGTTCGATCAATTATATTATAAAAAATTTTAATTAATTTTTGATTTAAACGAAACTAAAACTGACAAAATCTACCGCCGCACACCCTAGGAAAGGGATTATTATTCCATTCCTCACAACCAAATATGCCCATTAGAGTAACGTGGCCTTAAATGATTGGAACGGGAGCTTAGCTGTCTCCTACAATCCTTTCTCTGCCGTTAGAGTTGGGAAGGGCGACGGATGGAGCAGAGTTTGGGCGGCACTTTTTTTGAAACCCCTAAAAGCAAAATAGCAAGAGTTGGGTTCTTTACCAAAAAAATAAACGCCAGAAGGACCTCTCTCACTCACTCAGTTATCTTCACTTAGTACTCAAATTTCCCAATTCTTTTACAAAGAAATGACAGGAGCATTGAAACCGCCGAGTGCCTTTGCGATAACCCCACACAAAGTTTCCCTCTGCATTTTGGTTCAGATCTACGCTTCCCCTTCTCAAATTTCCGTCCCTTTCCCTTTCTCCTCCGTTTCTCAACACAACCGCCTGGGCGTGTATTTGTTAGCTCTCACCAAGGTATTCTAACGCTTTCCTTTTATTTCTATTTTTTTTTTCAGAAAATAATGTTCGCTTTTAGTTTTTGCTTCCGGAATCGGAAAAGCAAGTAGCAATAGTTACGAAAAGATCGAAGGTTAAGTTTAGTCTCTTCTGGTTCGCGAATTATTCCGTTGCATTTTAACGTTTTCACTGTCAAATTTTCATGTTGCAGTCCTGTGATGACATTTTGGAGCCAAAATTAGATCAAATCATTACCCAATTGAGGGAGATTGGTGGTTTATTGGATCATTGGTTAACTGATCATTTAACTAGCCGGCTATCGTCGTTATCATCACCTGATGATTTATTCAATTTCTTTAACGATATGCGAGGTTAGTTTTATTTATTTATTTTTGTTTATATCACTTTATCATCTTCTTCTTCTCTTTTGCTGTTGTTAATTTATTGATAACTCTTTTCAGGAATAGTTGGAGGACCTGATTCAGGAGTCATGGATGATGACCAGGTTATTTTGGACCCAAACAGTAACTTGGGGATGTTTCTTCGCCGTTGCGTACTTGCTTTCAACCTCTTAACTTTTGAGGTATTTCTATCTTGCCTCGGAAGTTGTAAATATCATGTTTTGAATTGTGTTGGTGCTTGCACTCGTTTGCAACTCTTTGCTTTTGTTCCAATCATGGTTTATTTGCTATTTCTAAAATATACTTGAAATGACAGTGCAAGAATCACAATAGAGATAGAGTATGTGGCTGTTATCACCATTTGGGCTTTGTGCTGCCCATTGAAGTAAAATTCTGTTAGTGCCCTCTCTGTTTGTTGATACCTTTCATTCTATATCCTGATTTTGATGGGTGGGTGCAAGTGTTTAGAAACAATTGAAAGGCTAGCAATTAAATTAACATTCTGATAACTGCTGTTCAAGTTGAACGGAGTTACATTTTCCACTTTTAGAGTTTGTGCATATTGTATCTAAATGTTATAATCCCCTGTTCTATGCTTTTCTTCTAAGTATTTATAATTTCTTTGCTCACTTAGTTTTTCTAACCTTTTTCCTTTTTGGGTGTAAATAGAAGGTTGAATGTTCTGTTTGATAGATTCTTGTTTAAGCATAGACTAAGTTGATGCCACTGCATTTTGTCACATAATGCAGGGTATCTGCCATCTTTTGACAAATATAGGAATCTATTGTAAAGAAGCCATGTCAAGTTGTTCATCGTATGAGTTGCGCCGGTTAGATGATTCTGGTAATGATTTGGAATCTTTATCTGAGTATGAGAACATGGATCTCAATCTTGTTTTTAAAAAAATAAATGAAGAAATGGAAGCTAGGAAAAGAGCCACTGAACAAGTTTCTTTTCATCTTCATCTTCCGAAGGAGCTATCAACGTTGGTTGAAGGTAGTTTATTCTTGTAAAGTATGTTTTTGTGATTGTAAGTTATTACACTCTGTTGCTTGAACAGGAGACTAATGGTTACATTTTTTATGATGGTAGGATTTTTAGTGCAATTTTTCATTGGCATGTTGCTAATAATATTTATTAAATCACAAAAATTGTGCAGCAGAAGCCAATGAATCTATTTGTTGACTTCACATCTAGTTTCATCAATCTTAAAATGAATATAAGGGATTTCTGTTTGGACACTTTCTAAGAGTGGCAAGCTTTTAAGTAATGCAAAAAGCACTTGGTGTTGACTGGAAGATACTCTTGTGTCCTGTGGTTGATGATACTTTATATACTATTCAGCTCATTGGTTGTCTCTTAATATGTCTACTGAATAGTTAGGTTTCTGTTCTGTTTGCTAAACTTTTTGCTTTATTTAAGGTGTCTTGGGTTAGAGGTCATGGCTATGAATGTTTGTTTCATTTATCAAAATTGAGTTGATTCTCACGTTATTATGGTGAATTTATGTTAAATCCGTGCCATTGTCATAGTCTATTGCTTATCAGTTTTGTAATTACACGTGCAGATATTGAGGTTTTTGCTGACCCTAAATCAGAACACAATGACAAAGGCAGAGAATCTTCTCCATATGCCTCTTCTGGCGATTTACTGAGAGATTTTGATCCCAATGGTGGGGTATTTTTGCGCACCAATTGGCAAATACAAGGCTACCTGACAGAGCAAGCTGATGCAATTGAAAAGTAAGCCATTTGTTGACTTTTTACATTTTTTTAACTTTTTGAAATGCTATTTAAATTGAACTAAACTGCGAGTCATTTTCTTGTGGCAGGCACGGCAGTTCTTTCACTTTAAATGCCTTTGAACTGACTTTAAGGCAACTTCAGAAGTTGGCCCCTGAGCTACATCGTGTAGGTTGACTTGCTTATTTAAGTTCCACATGCTCTCTCATTCTTCTTCTCGGTTTGATTTGGTATTGTGACTCATATTACTTGAACTCTAACACTAATACCTTTTGCCTCTGTTATATTATGATGCAGGTTCACTTTTTGCGTTACTTGAATAGCCTGTATCATGATGACTATTTTTCTGCATTGGAGAATCTTCATCGTTACTTTGATTACAGGTGAATTGGAACTTCCTTTTTTTTCCTATTTATATGCAACTGTACTGTTTATTGTACTTATAGCAGTTCCTAATGTCCTTTCGTGCTCTTTATTCTTTTCTTCATCGACTAACGTATTTAGTTTTTATCTTAATATTTTTAGCTTCCATTTGTTTTGTTAATGCGATTAGTTTATTTAGGATGTGTTAGTCTCTTACTTAAAAACTGGTGCTGGTACATGTAATAGTTCAGGTCTGTGAAGCATCATTAGGACTGAGATGTACATAAATCGGATCTTCTTGAACAAATTAACATATTTGGATTTGCATATGGAAATGGGTGTCAGAGTCCTGTTTTTTTAGAAGGTGAAAGAATCTATGGACTTATCAGGGATTTTGATTGAGGGATAGCTAAACTTTGTACAGATTCATGTGCCAACCATTTTTGATGTTCATATTCTGTTTTGAATGGGTTTTGGGGAAGCAATAACAGTCTCTGATGTTTTAAATTGTTTTAGGAGTTATTTATTATTTTCCTTAAATAGTAAATGCTATTTAGGGTGCAGCATGAGTATCCATGAATATTAATATGTTCCCCAGACTCATACATGTCTGTGAATATGTTTCTGTTTGAGCTATCTTCTTTTATCGTTCTCTTGGCTTTTAAATTTAGTGGAAGAAGCTATTTGGCAGAAATGAACCATTCTGATAAATTTTGGCACAATAGTGCAGGAATTGAGGGATTTGATTTTGTTCCTCCTACTGGTTGCAATAGTTTTGGAAGATATGAGATTGCACTGTTATGTTTGGGGATGATGCACTTTCACTTTGGGCATCCTAAGCAGGCTTTGGAGGTAAGCATGACTGCAGGACTTACTCTCCTATGATATGCTTAGATTTGCATGGCCAGTACTGAAAAAGTAGTGGTGGCAAGTAGAATTGTTGATTGGATTAAGGTGGCTAAGGCTTACCCATGTGTCTTGAAAATTTTGGGCTGTGCATTTATTGAGTTGGGGGGCTTGGCTGAGTTCTGTCAAAGATGTTTGTCCTAAAAACAATGCCTAGTCTTAGGTTGTCTCCGTATGCTGCTTAATAAATCTTTATGCCTCTGCCAGTCAGAGCTCCTGATGCTCTTGCTTTTGGTAGGCTGAGCTCAGTTGATATATATGTTTAGATGCCTGTATTTGGCAAGAGTTTCATGTGCCAAGATGAATTGGGAAAACCATTGCCTAACTTGCCCCAACCTCAAACTCAGCCCAGCCTTAGTGACAGGCTTACTTTGTTTGCTTATGGTGATTGTTCTCTGATGATTTTTAGGTCCTTACTGAAGCTGTTCGTGTCTCCCAACAGGTAACTTCATTCTATTAGCCTAATGGCTTTGAATGTTAATTTTCCAATTATTTCAAATGCGTTTCATACTATTAGGCCACATAATTTGAATTTTTGCAGCACAGCAATGATACTTGTCTAGCATACACCCTAGCAGCTATCTCCAACTTGTTGTCTGAAATTGGTTTCTCAACCACCAGTGGAATACTTGGATTGCCATTCTCTCCTATGACCAGTGTAGGCACTTCATTGTCTGTCCAGCAACAACTGTTTGTTCTCTTGAAAGGATCTCTAAAGAGAGCAGAGAGTTTAAAATTGAAACAATTGGTAGCTGCCAATCATCTTTCAATGGCTAAATTTGATTTGACGGTAAGAATGGGTATCAGTTCTTAATGCGCAGTTTCCTTTACGACTTGATTTTTTCCTGCATTATAGCTGATATGCGTTTGTCATTCTTTCTGCCCTTGGTTAAGATAAAACTATTTTCTTAGGGATGAGATTTGCTGCAGCTAAGTCTTTATAGCTCTATTATTTTATGATGTAACATTGAGCTGCTCTTGAGCCAGAATATTTTTTAGTATATAACAAATTTTCTTAGTAATGAACTGGTTAGAACAAACCGGAATGTTCTTGCACATAAATCTGCCAAAGTGGAGGTTTTTCTAGGGCAAGTGCTAGAACATTCAGTCAAGACTTGAGAACAACAACTTTATTTAAACATTCTAAGAGTATTCTGAATTATCCATCTTACAAGCATTGCTGTCAGAAACCTCTAACTAGGTGTATAGAGAACCTCTCCCCAGGAATGAGGAAGACATCTATATCAGCGATTTTGCTGATTGATGATGAAGAATATTTTAATAAACTTGTAGCTATTTAAAGTTTTCTTTTGGTGCCGTGCTCATGTATTTTCTGTAGGAAGATGAAGTATATCTGGTAAAACAACAATCTTATATTAGTTGGGAATTGCTTGTAGGATGCGTTTAGCAGTTTAGACAGAACGAATTTGAGAGTTTAGTGCTCAAGTAGAACTGTTTCATTATCTTCAGTTCTTTACACTTTTGCTACTATCTCTGTATTTCCAACTTGTGGTGTGAATCTGAAGTAATCACATTTGTTTATTCTGGAATCGCATAGAAATATGTTTTGGTTACTCATAAGCAAGCGAACTTGAGTTGGAGTTTCAAATGAGCCTCATAAGCATGGTATCAATTGAAACTAGTTTGTTACAATTGATTTTGAGTTATGTTGATAATTAGATTTAGAATGCTAAATTGAAATGCAATATTCTACTCCCTTGGTTGATAAAATGATGTGAGGGAAATATTCGTGCGCACAAACAAGCTTGCACATATGCAAACTCATAAACCCTATGGAAGTTACCACAATTTCATGTGGCTTTTATGATGGGATACTTACAAAGTTTTAAATTTCTTTCTTTTTTTTACTTTTTCTCTTTTCATGAACATATTATCACTTATGTTGTAGCCTCAGAATGATCTTTGGTTGTTGGTGCTTTAAGAGAGGTTCTTTCTTGGTAATATCATAGGTTCAGAGTTTTTAATGCTTAAGTTTGTACTTTTGCGGGGAATATCATGATGAATGTTACCATCAATCAATGTAACAAGATTCCTTTGAAGAACTTGTGTCTTGTTGGATACAATATATGTGATGGGATTCTCTCTTTCTCTCTCTCTCTCTCTCCTCATAAGTAATTAATATCCAAAATGCCAAAAGTCCTCATAATTAATGAGCATCCAAAAATGCCAAAAGGATGCATTATAAGAACTTAAAAAGGAATAGGGAACTACTACCAGAAGAAGTTCCTGAAATCTAGAACATATAAGAACTTCATAACAGAATAAGCTACAGGCAGATGTGACCAGGCATTGGAAAAATCACCCTTGTCCCCTGGCTTCAGCCCACTCACTGCATGCTTTACTCGTATTGTTAGTCATATAGTTTCTCTAACTCCAATGATTCCTGGGCAAAACAAGAATGAACTAGCTATCATATCATATCAGACACGTTTACTCTTTATACCCAATAATCGGCTACTTCTTTTCTATTTATTAGGTTCATATAACCCTAAATCTAGTTAAAAAATTTGTTCTATTAACCCAGCTTTTGGCTGTTAAAATACAAGAAAGAGCTAGAGTGCATACGGCAAAGAGAAAAATTTCAGCCGTAAATTGCCCCGATCTTTTCAATTTTTAAATAGCCTTGGTTCTCTTCTTATCATTGTGTATATTTCCTGATGAGTCATGAAGAGATCTTTTAAGACGTAGCTGAAACGGGTCTTATAATCTTGGTTCTTTCAATTTCTAAATCTGTTAATTCTTTAATCTTTTTATTCTTTTGTGAATATGGAACCTTCTTATTGTCTCGTGCAGCATGTGCAGAGACCTCTGCTATCATTTGGTCCCAAGGCTTCCATGAAGCTTAGGACATGCCCAATTAGTGTTTGCAAGGTAATGTAGTTTTGTTTGTCGCCATGCTTGTTGCTTGTATATACGAGCACTTTTGTGATTGCATTTTGTTTCATATTATGTATAATATTTGCAGGAACTAAGGTTAGGTTATCACTTAATCAGTGAATTTTGTTGCGAAGGCTCTACAATGACAACAGATGGTGCTTTTAGTACTGCATGGCTTAAGAACTTGCAAAAGCCCATGGGTTCGTTAGTGCTGTCTCAAGATAATAGTTCTAGGAACAATTCTAATCCTTTCCTGTTCTGTACACAACCAAGCTCAATTCCTGGATCTGTTCTGCAGCTAGTAGGTTCTTCATATTTACATCGTGCTACTGCATGGGAGATATATGGAAGGTGACATTTACCAAGCACTTGTTAGATTTTTGTTTGTTCCTTTTTTCACTGATTTAAGATCATACAGCTTTGACTTGTCATTCTTCTAGCTGATTGTACACATCTTTTCAACATAACCTACATCAAGGGTTTTTTATAAAAGCGATAGACTGATAGTTTTAGTCTGCAAGTATGAGATTGACTTGGTGAATGTAAGCTTCTGGTCCTTTTGGTAATACTATCATGTGCTTCTTGATGCTAGCATGTGCCTTTAGGTGTCCTGGTGTTTCCATGCGTAAACATCAAATTTATCCATTCTCCCTTCCTCACTTGTCTTTCCTTCCTCATGTTTCATCATACGGCAAGATGAGTAGAATTAGAAATTTGCTCTTTGCATTACTACCCTCACCACTCTTCATTCGTCACCATTTTATTTGATTTCATTTTATGGATTTCCCGCCACTCTTTCTGCATTTTGTGAACACAGGATGTAGCCTGACGTTATCATTTCCCCCTGCAATTGGCTAAAGCATGAAAACTCATATTTCACTTATCTGATTGTGTGTTTAATTCCTGTTCTAGCTCTGAATAAATCATATTAATTGCTTGTTTGATGTTTTTCTTCTTTTTCTTGTGTACTCTTGTCAGCGCCCCACTTGCTCGAGTGAATGCTTTAGTTTATGCAACTTGCTTCACTGATGCTTCAAGGTATTATTCATGAAAACAATCTAGTATTTGGCTATATACTATATATTTCTATTTTGTATTATTAGTGTGTGCTTTATCCATTTGAGTCTCCTTAACTTGGGGTTTACAATTGTTGGACATTCCAGTTCATCTGATGCAGCATTAGTATATGTGAAGCTTATACAACATCTGGCAGTATTTAAAGGCTACAAAGGTCAGATCAAATGTTTCAATGCCTTATTATCTGCATTTCTCCCTTCAGTTAATTTGTTTTTCTTACTACTTTGGTTAAAACAGGTTAGGACTTTTTTTCTTTTTCTTTGGAAGTGATGTCTATTTATTTGGTTCTAGTTTTATTAATATTTGAGAGTACCTCTCTTTTCGTGTTTGTAACTAGAAATATTAGTTACATATCTGGTTTTAGATAGTAATAACCTTGGGCAGAATACAGCATGGAGATGGCATCCAGATTCTCTGTGTCTCATGTTCATGTGGGCACTGACATATACATCAAGGATGTGCAATAGCTAGAGAGAATGAAGTGAACTGATCTATGTGATTATTTGGATCTGTTTGAAATGCTTATGCTCAGATGGAACTGCTTGAGCACACCCTTATAGATTCCCTTGCTAACACCAATGTGTATATGCATATCATTCTTGTTATCACAGCATTTTTTTATCAAAATTTTATTATAAATTGTTGTTAAATCTATTTGCTTCTAGAGGCTTTTGCTGCTCTTAAAATTGCGGAAGAGAAGTTTTTATGTGTCTCCAAATCACGGATATTGATACTGAAGTTACAGCTGCTCCATGAGCGTGCATTACATCGGTACGGTTACATACTGAAATTTATACATAGTGCTTTTGTCATATTTATTGTAAGTTTTGAATTGTTTTCATATTTTTCTTATGATAACTAGAGGACATCTCAAGCTTGCGCAACAAGTATGCGATGAGCTTGGAGTTTTGGCATCATCTGTCACTGCTGTGGACATGGATCTGAAGACAGAGGCAAGCCTTCGCCATGCTCGTACATTGCTTGCGGCAAAGCAGTTTAGCCAGGTTTGTGCTTGACATGCATGCCACATTCTTTTGTGGTAGCTAATTTGCTCTATTTCCAAAATTTGAGGTAGAGATGAAGTGTATATTGCAATTTGAAGTAATTATTTGGTTAACAATTGCTGTGCGTTTGAAAGGAGGGGCAAACTGAAGGTGATACCAGAGTTTTTTTATGTATCTATGTTTGCAAGAGGTTTTTGATGCGTGTCAATCCTTGCAGAAATTTTCATTCAATTATTCTGCATATGCACAAACACGCAGCATGTTGAAAATCGGGGAGGTAATGAATGTGGAATCGGGAAAACATTGACTACAAATATTGGATATGTCAGTCAGTATTTATCAACTGTCAGGAGGGTTAGAGGCTACCAAAATACTATTAAAATTATGCTAAATGAAAGTGATGATCTTGATTTGTTTCTTCAACTCATGTAATAATTGGGAATTTGTTCTGATTTTGGTGGTGGTTAAATTTCATAGCCATTCATTGGTTCCTTATTTTCTAATATTAACCAATATATTTTAACTGTTTCTGAATTTCCGTATTTGTTATCTGACGATGATCTTTGCAGGCAGCAGCTGTGGCACACTCCCTCTTTTGCATGTGCTACGAATTCAATCTGCAAGTTGAAAGTGCATCTGTTCTTCTTCTGCTTGCTGAAATTCACATGGTATGATAATGCATTTGATTGCTATATTATGCAATTTGAGGTGGAACATATATAAATTGAAATTTTAACTATCCATAGTGCTATTGTAAAGGGTACCAATTTGCATGAAATTATTTACAGTTACTTTAAACAGACCGCGTAAGTCTCTTTCCTTCCCAAAGAAGGGGGCAGGTTTGGGGTTGGGGGGAGCAAATATAAATTGAAACTAGACCAGAGGTCCAGGGGGTAGTTAAAAAATTATATTTTAATGGTTTGTGCATTGAGGTCCAACTCTGTTAAATAGAAGGAGAAATTAAGCACTGTAGCTTAGGGCTATGGAATCTTTGAATGATTGCCCACAAAAGTCAAACTGAATTTCTTAAAAGAACTAGGCTTGTTGGTGTGAAATTTTCTTCTTTTCTATAGAAATCAACTGAAGTCAATTAAATTCTGTCTCGATTCATTCTTGGGTATGAGTGCTGGACATGAATATGTTGTGCGTATTTCCTTCTATTTGGAGGTCCATGCCCTCTTTCAAGTGTTCAGCTGATGGTATCTAATGTGTCGACCACTAAAACAAACATATCCTTTAGTTTGTGTGGAGTCTATTACATTGGCCATGCTAAATTATTCTGCATTGTTTAGGACTACATATTACTTCCTAAGTATAACCTGTAGAAAGCAAAGTCATTTTTCCACCATATCTATTTTGGTTTCTCCAACAATGTGAAGCAACAAGCAAAGCACTCTCCCACTGTGGAAGATGGATTACATGAATCATATTACATCATTGTGATATATTCGGTATTTATGTTGAGTAAGATCAGTTAAAATAAGGTTCTTTCTAATAGTTTCAATTTACTGTCATTTTGGTATTCTCTTCTTTCTTGTGACATAGGCATCCTCCTTACAACACATCTTTGTGGAGGGGCATTTCTAGGCCTTTGTTTCAGAGATCTAAACCACCTTAAGCATGTCTCTCCATTTTGATTATTTAGTCTTCCTTTCTTCCTTCTAACACAAATATTTTACTTATGTCACGTCTTTGTGGAGGGGCATTTCTAGGCCTTTGCTTCACACGTCCAAACCACTTTAAAAATATGCCATCTTTTTGTGCCCAATTGGTATAATCCCTACCTTGTACAAGCATTTATTTATGATCTCATCTTTCCCTATATACCAGCCCATTTGTTTACACCATCCTATCTCAGCTATATGTTCAATACGAGTGCCTTAGGGAAGAAAAAATTGTTGTATCATAGACTAGATCTTTAATATTAGTGTCAGCCAGAGGGCCATTCTTAACAGATCTTTCAAATTAAATCCTTTTGATGCACTGCCCATATAAATTTCTGTTTACCTTTGAGCCTTCTTTCAAATCTTTCTTCTACTTGAAATGAATCACCTTTTCACACCAATGTTTCTCATGAAAAGAGCTACATGATTATGAGGCTGGAGTTTGGCAGTTTTGATATATTGACACTTTAAATAGGTTATGTTTTTGTGAAATAGATGGATAGGTTGGTTCAACATTGAATCTGTGTCTTAGTCACACAGGCCTGCAATTGTTTGCACCCTTGTCATGTGCTAGAATATCTTGCCCCTCTTTCTCTTGCAAAGTACTGAAAAGATGATATTTTCCTTTTTCGTGGTCATTAGAAATCAGGAAATGCTGTTGTGGGCCTTCCATATGCATTAGCGAGCCTCTCATATTGTCAGTCATTTAACTTGGATCTGCTTAGAGCATCGGCAACTCTTACACTCGCTGAGTTATGGCTTTCACTTGGATCAAATCATACAAAGACAGCTTTAAGTCTTTTACATGGTGCTTTTCCAATAATACTTGGCCATGGAGGTTTGGAGCTCTGTGGTCGGGCCTATATTACAGAAGCAAAATGTTATCTCTCAGATCCAAACTTCTCAGGTATGTTATTTTTATTTTGCCCCACTGTATGGCATTTATTCCAACCTAATTGTTTAAGTAGAGCAAAAGCCCTATATTTTTTCTTTCTCCCTTTCCTCTTCTTTTAAGGAATTTGAGAATTGTGGTGGGTTGGGATGTGGGAAAGGTTTATCAGAACTTGTTAGATTGTTAACTTTTTGCCTTATCTATTTTTAATCTTTAATTCTGTTCTCAGGTTTAATCAAATATTTGTGGGATCTAGACTTTTTTGCATTAAACTTTGTTTTGCTCGGACTTCATCTAACTTGATCTCAAGTTGAATGATTAATTGTAATGTTATGCAAAGAGGGTTTAGATACATAATAAGTTCCGAAGGTTCATTTTCTTCAAAAGAAAAAAAAGGGAGAGATTCATGAAGGTTATGTTTACCAAGAAAAATTTAAAATGTCAACAATAAATACTCAACGAAGAGGAACAAGTGAGGGACATGAGAATGAAGGTGAACAATAATACCATTATGCATTAAGATACGGCTTACCATATAAACCATAGTACCACAGTTGTCTTTTAATTACCAACTTAAGCTTAGAGGCTTTGAGACCAAAATTATCCTGGTTTGGGTTTTCATTATAAAGGAAGATTGAGGAAGTTGTTTTTGAATTAACAGTACCTATAAAAGGTCTTGCCTACAATGCTTTATGGCAGGGTATGTTGAATTATTGGAGAGTGTGGTATGTTGGAATTTAAATCTAGATTGAACTTTTGTTGAATCGTCCTGGTTTCGGTTTTCATTAAAAAGGAAGATTGAGGAAGTTGTTTTTGAATTAACAGTAGCTATAAAAGTTCTTGCCTACATGCTTTATGGCAGGGTACGTTGAATGATTGGAGAGCATGGTATGTTGGAATTTAAATCTAGATTGGACTTTTGTTGAGAAGGCATATCGGGGATGTTCCTTTTGGAGTCAGCAGTAGCTGTAAAAGGTTATTGTCTACCATGCTTTCTGGCAGGATATGAACAAATGGAGAGCATTGTATGTTGGAATTGAAGTCTAGGACTCTAGGTTTGACAATTGAGGAGTGAGAGCAAGACATTAATCCCTCAATAAGGGTGTGCTATATCAAGTGTAAGGTGAGCGGAAATCATTGTTGTTTTATTAGATAGAAAATCCACCTAAAAAATGCAGTTACAAAGCAAGGACTATTTAATAAAATTTGAAATTATGTGTAGCAAATGAATGGTTTATTACAAGTTGTTTATGAAAATATAATGGAAAAGATGCTGGTAAAGGCAGTGAGAATGAAGATGCTGCTAAGAAGTTAATGGAGGAAGTTTTACAAAGATTTGAAGATGTAGATAACTCTGTTAAGATGGGATTTTACTCAATGGCAGGGTATGTTCATAGTTTACTCTGAATTGAGCTGCAAATAAGTTGGATAGAAGTGCTTCAGTTTAAATTCTTTCAGAACAGGCTTTCGAATAGTCTAAAATAGTACTTTTATCAAATGATGTACAAAGCTCAAAATGTAATTCATCTCATTAGAGTGATTAACTAAAGTTAATATTGCAACAAATACATAATTAGCTTTTTAATGATTTGAAATTGAAGGATGAAGTTTATTTGGTAATACATCCCAACTTTGAGGGTTAGGATGAATTTACCCTTTCCCTTTTAACTTTTTTTTCCTATTCCTCCCTCCGTCCCTCCCTTTCTCTCTCATGTTATATCCTCTTTCTGTTAAGCTTGTTTGAATTGAAAATTTTATTTCCTTAATCACACTGCACTCCCCTGTTGACTTTCCTCATCAGTTTCTGACAATCCTGAGGTTGTGCTGGATCCCTTAAGGCAAGCATCAGATGAGTTGCAAGCTTTGGAGGTTAGTTGACTTTTGATATGGAATGTCTATATGCTCTCTCTTTATCACTCTTTCAATTGACTTTATTTTGGAATGCACAGCATTTATTTCTTCAAATTTCAGCATATTCTGCTCTTTATTTTAGTCATTTCCAACTGTTTTAAATACCTTAATTTACATATAGATCATAAAAAGTATGTAATAGTGGCATGAGAATTCCATACAAAGAAAGGGACAAGAATCTATGCCATTCATTGAACATAAGTAGTATTCATCTGATCATATAAAGGTTGGCTCCATTTTTGGTGTCCACTTAGTGAACACTTTCCATTGCTGTTTAAAGATGGCCTAATTGACATATTATGGGTACAATACCACATCTAAATATGAATATTCATTTTTCCCACGCTCTGTTGCTTTGCTTTTGTACTTGTATTAATTTTCGTGTGTATTATGGAGTGTTGCTTGATGGGATGAAATTGCTTTTGTTGCTCAGTATCATGAATTAGCAGCTGAAGCTTTCTACTTGATGGCCATCATATTTGACAAGCTGGGGCTGCTAGAAAAGAGGGAAGAAGCAGCAGCTTCATTCAAGAATCATATTATGGCACTTGAGAATTCGCAAAATGTGGAAGATCCTCTGTTAAGTGTGTAACGACCATTAAAATTTCAGATTCGTGTAAATAAAAGTATGAAGTATCTGTTTAGGGCACGGCTAGTTTCCTGGAGCTGCCAAATCCAAGTGACGGCTCAGAAAGTCAAGGCTGCTTCAGTTCCTCTGGGAGAAGCTCTACAAACTGGAGCTGTATAGCCGGACTGAGCAATTTCTTCAATATCATGAAGGCAAATTTCTTCCGATAAAAGTGCTCGGCTGGGACAGCTTGACAACCATGCCATGGCACTTTCTGCCTGATTTGCTTCAGGCTTCCACTGTCTGGAATCATCGCCTGATTTGGTTACTGGTTTTAATCCATTAGCTTACAAAACTTGTTATATATTTGCTACTTACTGTAACCTCTAAAATCCAGAATGTGATATTTTTCACTTTTACAAGTGCTGGATTTCCTTTTATATTAGGATTGTCAGCATCAACTAAATAATATTTAAGATAAAATGATTTAGTCTCTTTTAAATTTTAATCGAAATTTCAAATATATTTATTAGTTTTCGAAATAGATATTCCGTTTCAAAAAAAATTTTTTCCTTAGACACAGATCCAATCGGTAGTCAATTGTTAGTGTTTTTGTTAGTTTGATTACGTAGTAATATTAAAATAATAATTTTATTTTTTATTAATATTAAAAATATTATTTTATAATTTTATTAATTTATTATTATTTATTATTAATTTTTTAGAAAAAGCTCTCGATCGGGCTTTCCAAGCGGGCTCCGCTGCTTTTAGAGAGCATCAATGTGGTGCTTTTCAAGGGAGCGTTGGGTGGTTGATTGGTGCAAGAGAAGTTGTCGGTTTGACTTGAGAGAAAATAATGAAAAAAAAGATATATTAGACATTTAATATTTAATATTAATGTTGTTTAGATGTTTAAAGTAAAATGTTTATTTTGAAAATTTGTAAATTTTTTTATAATTTCGCTTAAAATTTAAGAGGTGAAAGGTAATTTACCTTAATATTTATTCCTTAAGAAAAAAAATAAAGATTTTAGTATTAATTCATTAAAAAAATTTAAGAAATAAATATATAGAATGGTAAACTTTTATGCTATAAAAATTGTAAGTTATACCTTCCACAAGGTAAAAGAATACACTTTTCATTTTATCAAACATATTTGAAGAGATACAAGTGTTGAATAGCATATCAAAGTTATGCACCAATATGATATGTGTTAGATATCATTTTCAATCAGTAAAACGAATATGATCATTTGTAGGAGAAATGATAGGAACATGTAATTTATTTATAGCAGCAATGCACCTTTGAAAGAAAGATCAATATCTACAATCATTTTTAATTTTGGATGGAATTTTGGCAAATTGAAAATTTAGAGCCTCAATAATTTTATTGGTCAATAAATATAAACCATTTAACATTTCACCAAACTTCTTACTTACAGTTTCTCTCAATTTGCAAATTTATTTTAGCCATTACAATTTGTTTCATTGTACGCACAAATTAAAAGAAACATAACAACCACCTCTAATGTTGTAATGTCTTTAGATGGATTTAACCATTCCTTATTCATCAATATACTTGTAAGTTGCAATATAGCAAGTAATTTCATTTTAAACATTTTATGACTTTCACTCAAAATTTGAAAAGTTTCATATACCCAATTCTATCCATCATAATAATTGATTATATTTCTTGTTTCATTAAGTATTTTATGTGATATATAATTACATTAGTAGCTCTTCCATAAATGTTTTGATAAATGCTTTCACATTTTCTTTTTTTTATAAGTTGTATTGATGCTTTGACTTTATTAGAAGATATCTGTTTAACAATATTAAAAAAATAAGTAGAAATTCAAATATACCAACAAAAATAAATAAATATTATTTCAAACAAATCAGATAGTATAAATAACAATTCAAATAAATGTAATATGGATAATAGCAAATTCTTTCAAACACTAATTCAATTACATATAACAAGTGACATAAATACAAAGAAAAAATAGTTTAAAGTTCAATATCAACCTAAAATAAATAAATCAAATTTTAAACTAATCAACTATTCCACCACTGTTTCTTGATATATTATGCTCTTATAGAATTCGGTTTAACTTATCACTTGAATCTGGCAAAGAAATAAAAATGAAACTATTTTCTTTCTTTTTAATTAATTATAGTGCAAAATTAAATTCATTTGCATTCAATCTCCATTCATTTTGTAGAGATTTTAATGCTCAAACACACTCCAGAATACCATATTGTTATATGGCTTGCAATGACACTGAATTTCAACACAAAAAGTTGCGTTATGACTTTCTGTTGCCTCACACAATTATTCTAATATTTTTTACAAGCTTGTTGCAATATCAGTTTTTGCCTTGGGCTTTGCCACTTTTTCCCTATTTCTTTTGACCACTTTTATCCTCTTGATTTGGAAGTTTACCATAGGGCTGCCATCTTCATTATAATTGATTTCTTTACCATCAAATTCAACATTGTTTAGTAGTAAAATTAGATTTGCAGATTTGACTGTATCTTCAAATATAAACTCCAATTCATCAGTATGTTCTAGCTCATTATATCGAAATTTGGAATATTTTGGATTGCCACTCACAAACATTAAAAAGAAAGAAACTTTTAAACGATGCGCATATGTAAAATAATTTATAATAGTTGAAATATATAAAATTTAAAATACTTATTTTTATTTTGACTTCCCACCACGTGGCATCAACTTCGATGGTTCTTGTCCCATGGTTCCAACTCAAACCTATTTTTTTGCCTTTCAATTATTTCCATTAAGTCCATTCATTCCTTAGATTGTCTAATTTATTTTTCAATTTCTTTTGGATATAATTTTTATTAACACGAGTATTAAATTCCTTTACTACAAGTTTCTATCTTTTAGTTTTGAATGAAATTTTTGGTTTTCCACACTTACAAATCTCATCTGTATAAACTTGAAGTAAGAATTTTATAGTGACTAAATCCTACTTTGCATTATGTTTTGGTTTTTTTTTTTAATTTCAAAATTAGGTAGAGGCATTTCTTTGGTTAGCTATAAACTGTAGCAAGACATTTAAATCAATAAATCTTGTATCATTGTTATCCAACAACTAATCATTTGACCAAGTTGCTTCATTGGGATTGCATATGCATTACACCAAATACAATTAAACCAAGATGCACAACAAGGTAGAAGATGTTTGAAATTCACACAAGTATATGTCACTCACAAATCATTTAACATGACTGACGACTCCAAATCCTACATAATATTCAAGAACACTTTTAGCAAAACTTAGAAATAGGAAAATTGCCATGACTCATATCCACAAAAAACAATAGTTTCTACAAAAATAACATTTAGTTATTTAGATACATTTTTAATCATTTGCAACTTTAATAAAGTTCAATACAGATCACATCTCAATATATACACTTTGAAATAGAAAAATGACAATATTGGAACAAAAGCAACTAGATAAGACTACTAGGATGTAGAGCTATCCTATCCTAGTTTGTTAACCATATGGTGATCTAAACCCCAAATAAGAGAACCCCTCAATCAAGATCTTACAACAATTTTAAAGGGTGTAGGATCTTTATCAAGAACCCAAAAAAACATCTTTGATTCTCCAAGTTGTTTAATAAGAATTCAAATGCATATTTCAAAATTAAAATTTAATTGAACTGAGAATAAAGAGAGATTCCAAAGTAAAAAAAAAAACAAAAAGAAAACAAAAAACAAAATAGAAAGAAAATAAAGAAATATTACTTGAATGTAGCTTTAAATTTTAGGTTTTCTTTTCTCTTAATCTTTTTAAGAATAAAAAATCTCATATTTCATTATTTTGTTGTTGGATTTTTTGTTTTTTCAATAATCCAGAAAGGTAGATCGCGATTTGTATTGGAGAAGTAATTTGCAGAAAAAAGGAGAGGAGAGAGAGATCGATTAAGAGAGGGATTTTTTGAGAGGACAGTGTTGAGATTATTTTTAATAAATGAGAATATTTTTGAAATAAAAAGAAAAATTCTCTTAAAAAGCTAATGTGTTTTTTTTTTTTAAAAAAAAAAAGAGAAAACACCTTTCTAGAGCTTTTCTTGAAATCTTTTTTTTTTATTTGATTTTTTTTAAAAAAAATTACTTTTTTAAGAGTTTTTTAAAATCTTATTTGATTAAAAGTCTATTAGGCCTGGATTTTTTTTACATTAAAAACTATTAGAAAGCTTTTATGAAAAATAATAACTTTTAGAATTAAGCTGAAGTTGTTCGATAAAATTTTTTTATCGTAAAGGGTATTTCTTTTTTTGAGAGGGTAATATTGTAATTATTTTTAATAAATGAGGATAGTTTTGAAACAAAAATAAAAATTCTCTTGTATTTTAAAAAAAAGAGAAGAAAAAGCTCCTCATAAGAGCTTCTCCTGAAGCTTTTTTTTTATAATTTTATTTTTTAAGAAAAATTTATTTTTTTTAAGAGTTTTTTAAAATTTATGTTTGATTTGGCTTTTACTTTTAAGAAGTAGATAAACTAAAAAAAAATCAAGCTAAACAAGTACTTATATTCTACCTTTAAAATATAGATAAGTTAAAAAAAAAAGTAAAACCAAACAAGTACTTATTACACAATTCATTCTAGTAAGGAATTATGAATTTAGTTACCTTGTGATGTACGCAGTTTAGGGACTCTAAGACTCCTTGAAAAAGGCTTCGGCTCCAGGGAATTTACAAGAAAAGTTGCATTTAGACTCAATTAAAAAAGGGTTTTCAATTTTTGTGTATTTAGAAAAAGTTTAATAAGAGAAAGATTTCATTAAAAAAGAAAAGAAATATTTTTTTTTTTGGTTTAGTACAAAAAGAGTTAAGAGGTTTGAACATTCAATCTTCTTAAAGATGGGTGTTACCAAACAAAATTTATTAGTATTCATAACAAATAAAGTACCGGTAATTATGTTTACGCTTTTATAGAGTTGGTAGAGGGAGGTGGATGTTTATACACAAATTAATGAACTAAATATT